TTTCCTCTCACTTTTAGACTTCCACGTTGCTGATATTTATGTTTTTGGCCATTGCTGATAGTTAACCCTCAATTAAGGGATAAGATGTTCCCTCTCTTTTCTTGAACTAATGGCTGCACAGTGCACACGGCTTTGATTAGATGTATTCCCAAATTTTCCAGAATATTTGGCCAAATATTTATTAGTGTCAATTGATTCAGATTTAAACTCGCAAGTCGCAACTCATCTAAAAATCGCACACCGTCAGCCAACTTCAATCGCTATATATTCACGTGTTATAATCTATATATATATATATATATATATATATATATATATATATATATATATATATATATATATATATATATATATACACACACTCCGAGTTCATTAGCTCATTATAAACTCAAATTAAAGGCCTAAAAGAGGAAAGCTACAAAACTGGAAGACTCAATTGTTTACAGCAACCGATTGATAGAACTAATTAAATGTCTATATCTTCTACCTTCACACCACTTCAACGGTAGTAGTACGATGTAAATTTGGGAAATTTTCCAACAGATCGACAGTAAGCATATATGGATGTCTTCGGCCGTGGCAGTCGGCTTGATTATTCGTCAGCTGATAATTGAGGTTAAGCAGTCACACGTTCTGACTATTAATTACCTTATCACTTTTCAGTTATACTATCTCTATGTTCGCGCGATGCACAAATATTTTCAGTCAAATATTACCAAGCACGTTCCAAAAGTAGTAATAAATTTTTAAGTGCATAGTATTCTAAAATTAATTGTAGCTAATATATAGGAAGTTCAATAATTAGTTCCTCAAAAAATATAATATATCATCTTTCTTGTAATTCTCTTTTGAGGCAAAGTAAAAGTCACTAATAAAAAGAATGAGATATGATATTTTTTATTACAATGCAAAAGCCTCCAATAAATATTATATTTGATCAACATTATTTTCCCTATAGTAAAGAATGTAAAAGATTAGTCGTAACTAAAATGACAGTCATATTGATTTCATTAAATTATCCTCTTTTTTTGAGTTTTAACCCATTAAATATTCATAAAAAATAAAAATCTAAACGCATAGATTACCATGTAAATAAATTATGTATGAGAGTAGTCTTCCAGACGAAATTAAATGAAAAATAGTAAGTCCGACTGCTAAGTGCCAATCAATTCTTTTCATGGGCTTTTTCTACCTAAGTTTTTTTGGTTATTCCTCTTTCATGTGAGATAGGATTGATCTTCGCCTTTATAAATTTAATAATTTTTTATTCCTTTCTTGACTGTTTCTTTTTATTTTTGTTTTATATAAGAAACGAATTTGAGCTAGACTTGATATTTGGGGGTATTGGAACAAAAGAATTAGCAATGACAACCAAAATCCAAAAGCATTGTGTTTTGAATTTTGGAACTCTATTTCGCTATGGTACGTCTTTTTTATTCATCAAAATAGCCAATGTCTTTCAATTGTAATCAATTTTTTTGTTGCTTTGGGAAGATGCTGTGAGAGAATGTGATGGAATGACAGCTGGACAAGTTAGTGGGGCATTCAGCCAGCTGTCACTAGTTAGTTAGAGTAGCTAAGATAGTTAGCACTAGTTAATTGGGGGATTAAGTTAGTGGGAATTGTACATGTATATATATGTGATGTATATCAGTTTTTACACACACTTTCAATATACAAAAAGTTTCCTCTCTCATTATTCTCTCTGATATTCATCCTCTCTACTGTAAGCTCGATTCATTCATTGAGCCTCCATTAATGGAGGATGAGCTGTGACTGAGATCAGCTCTACTCACATGGTATTAGAGCGATCGATACCGGTTGCTTCTTAGCTGAATAATTCCATGTTTGTGTGGTACAAATTCTCGCTTAAAGTCCAGAGATGGCAGAGGAGAAAATTGATCACACTCATCCTTTATTTCTGCATCCTTCTGATACGCCGAGCTCAGTTTTGATTCCAATTCAATTCACCGGGTCTGAAAACTATGGATTGTGGCGAAGGACGAGGCGAATAGCTCTTCAAGCTAAGCGAAAGCTAGGTTTTGTAATTGGTACATGTAAGAAGGAGACTTTTAAGAAGGAATTACATGAGGAATGGGAGACATGCAATGCGATTGTGCTCTCATGGATCATGAACACTGTATCAACAAACCTAGTTAGTGGAATAGCTTGTGCATCAGATGCGCACCTAGTTTGGGAAGACTTGAAGGAGAGATTCGATAAGGTGAATCGAGTTCGGATTTTTCAATTGCACAGAGAAATTACAACAATTTCGCAGAGAACTGACTCTGTTGACTCCTACTTCACTAGACTGAAGGAAATGTGGTCGGAGTATGATGCCTTAGTTCCCACGCCAGGTTGTGATTGTGCTAAGTCAAAAGACTACATTGAGCACCTTCATCGTCAAAGGCTGCTTCAATTTCTCAGTGGTCTGAATGAGACCTATGAACAAGCAAGGAGACAGATTTTGATGAAAACTTTTGAACCAATCTTGAATCAAGCTTATGCGTTGATAATTGAGGATGAAAGCCAAAGGTCAAATCCGTACCCAGCCTTGGGAGTCAGAAGAGATCCTATTACTATGCAAGCTGGACGAGGACAAGGTTACAAAGGAAAAAGGCCATTCATGAAATGTGACTACTGTAAGATGACTGGTCATTCGAAGGAAAACTGCTACAAGTTGATAGGGTATCCTGCAGATTTCAATGCTAAGAGGAAAGTTGTGGCCAATTATGCAACTGGCAATGCTGAGCATGAGGAACAGGCACATGTAGCTGGTGGTAAAGCACACAATGATGGTCCTGCAGGAGGGCACTTCTTTACTGATAACCAATACAAACAAATTCTGGATATGCTGAATAAGGATACCACAGTTCCACAAGTCAACATGGCAGGTATTGCTACTGCACTAATGACTGATAATCCTTGTAAAGAATGGATAGTTGATTCTGGTGCAACTCATCACATAGCTGCTTCCCTAGATATATTACATTCTAAGACTGAGTTGAAAATTGGTAGTGATCAAGTTCATTTACCTACTGGTGAGAAGACAAATATATCTCATATTGGTAGTGCAACATTCTTCAGGATATGGAGATTAAGAATGTGCTATATGTTCCTGACTTCAAATTTAATTTGTTGTCTGTGTCCAAACTCACAAAGGAACTCAGTTGCTCTGTCCACCTTTATCCTGACTTCTGTGTGTTTCAGGACCTTTGGAGTGGCAGGGTGAGGGGGATTGGTAAGGAAAGGAGAGGCCTGTATGTGGTGAAGGATGAGCACATTGCTAGAAGTTTGAGGCAAGCATCAGTTGCAGCAGTCCAGAAACCAGCAGTAGATGTCATTCTTTGGCACAAAAGATTAGGTCACACCTCTGTTAGTACAATGAAAAATATATATTTCATACAGCTTAAAGATCTAGATGATAATAAAGACCGTTTTGTATGTCCATTAGCTAAGCAGAGCATACTAGTTTTTCCTAGAAGTGTTACAGGAATTAGTGGTCCTTTACAGCTTTTACACATGGATGTTTGAGGACCATACAAGTTTCCCACATATGATAGAAAATATTAATTTCTAACAGTTGTGGATGATTGTTCCAGGTACACTTGGGTACATTTGCTACAGTTGAAAAGTGATGTAATAGTTGTGTTACAAAAGTTTCTCTCTATGCTAAGAACACAATTTGATGTAGCTGTTAAAACTGTTAGAATTGATAATGGAGGAGAGTTCTTTAGCAAACAGTGCATTGATTTGTTTGAACATTATGGTATTGTACATCAAAGTAGTTGTGCATACACTCCCCAACAGAATGGGGTAGCTGAAAGAAAACATAGACATATACTAGATACAGCAAGGGCCCTAAAATTTTAGGTAAATATAAAAACTAAATATTGGGGAGAATGTATCATTACTGCTGTTTACATCAGAAATAGGCTGCTTTCTATCATTTTACAAGGCAGATCACCATATGAACTTCTACACCATCAGAAGCCTTCTCTTGAGCACTTAAGAGTCTTTGGATGCCTATGCTATGCCACAACTATGTTACATGACAACAAGTTCTCAGCAAGAGCCAAATCTGCTGTGCACATGGGGTATTCAGACACACAAAAGGGCTACAAGCTCTTGGACCTTGCAACTAATCATTTTTTTGTATGCAGGGATGTTGTTTTCAAATAACATATTTTTCCATTTGCTGAGTCCTCCTCATTGCATCCTGTTAGTGTTCCTGTTAGGGGGAGTGCACCAATTGAGCATGAACCATTACAGGTACATGCTGAAAATCATGCATCTGAATCATTGCAGACACCTGTGGCAGACAATGCACCTGAATCATTGCAGACACCTGTGGCAGACAATGCACCTGAATCTGAAGCGGATACAACTATTGCAATCCATGAAGCTTATGAAGATGGTGAGGCTGATGTAGTTTGTGAAGATGGCAGCATTGCTGATGCTGTAGTATCTGAAGAAGTTGAAGAGCATCTGAACCTCATCAGGATACACATGATGAACCTGCAGAAAATGTTGTACTTGGATGTGTTCCCTCAGGAATCAGAAGTCAAGAACCAAGAAGATCTAGCAGAAGTACCAAAGAACCCATATGGCTACAAGATTATGTTACCAAGAAAAAGGCACATAATGTGGCTTTATATCCTATTTCAGACTATCTGTGTTATGATCAACTTTCACAGGCATGCAGAAGCTTTGTAGCAAAGGTTTCAGCACTCATAGAACCATAGAGCTTTACAGAAGCATCAGGAGACAAGAGATAGATTGAGGCAATGAAGCAAGAAATCAAGGCATTGGAGAACAACAGAACATGGGAGATAGTAGACTTGCCCAAAGGGAAAAACACAATTGGGTCAAAATAGGTGTATAAAATCAAATACAAAGCTAATGGAGATGTGGAAAGGTTCAAGGCCAGGCTAGTAGCAAAATGATATAGCCAAAAAGAAGGGTTAGACTACCATGAGACCTTCTCACCAGTTGCCAAAATGGTAACTGTAAGGTCAGTTATTGCAGTAGTAGCATCAAAAGGGTGGAACATATATCAAATGGATGTGTACAATGCATTTTTGCAGGGGGACTTATATGAAGAAGTGTATATGGATATGCCTCAAGGTTTTAGAAGACAGGGGGAGACCAAAGTATGCAAGCTAGTGAATATTATTATACAAAAAATTAATTTTTTATTACATAAAAGAGAGTGCACAGTACTCTTTCAGTAGATATAAAATGGAGTATAAACTTTTTATGCGAATTATTACACGAATCAATCAGTTTTTTATTATTCTGGAGAATAATATGATAAAATATAATTTTAATTTATCAAGATTCTAAAATAAATATTATATGTTAAAAAAATAAAGTTAATCTACTTTAATAACAAAAGAGACGAAAAGTTTTAAAATGTGCTCTGAATTTTTTGGTGTTTCTTTTTTTCTTTTCTCGGGTTTGAGTCTAATATTAAAACCTTTTTCTTTGATGTTTATATGTCTTTTATTAAAGCATGATGATGGAATTTGTTCTTTGCAACCTAATTACTTAGGGTTTTTTCTTTGTTTCATTTAAAGTTCATTAAAATTATATGTAAGTTAAGTGGACCTCTTCCTGTGAAAAAAAATAAGAACTTTGTAGTTATTTTGACGTTCCAAATATATTAGTTTATCAAAATATTAAAATAATAATTGTAGTTATAATGTTACATAGTATTGTTGTAGCTCGATTTATTTTTTAAATTAATATTACCATGTTAGTTTAAACTTCTAAAAATTTATACTTAGAATTAAAATTAACTCTTAAAAAGCCAAAACGATAAAGAACATGCATTGCTGATTTACAATGATTTTTAGGCTATAATATCGGTAATATTTGGGGAAAGACTCTAAGAACATGAAAAATTTTAAGTTCCACGTATTAAACTCCAAAAAAAAAAAAAAATTAAGTCCATGCATAAGGATATAAAAGTTGGTCAAATAAGGAATTTTTTGATATAAAATAAATTCTTATTAAATTTAAAGTCCTAAATATTAGGAATTTTTACATGATCCAAACTTAATAATTTTCTCGTACAAACTTAATGTGGCCTCAAAATTCAATTATCTTAGCACATGTGATGCAATTAATGATGTACAAAATAAAACAAAATCACACTATAAGAAAAAAATTATCTTCAGATAAATAAAAGCATTAAAATTATGTTTAATTATGTCAAACCCTACTTGTATAATAGATCAAATATATAATTAGGTGGCATACGTGAACATTATAACTTTACCTTCTTGATATAATATAGATGAATAATAATATTTATTTTCATTTACAAAAAAAACATTTATGTTACAGAGTACAAATGCGAAATAATTTATATAGAGTAAAATGTTAATATGACGAAGTTACTTTTTAATTGATTTAGTTGAATGGTGCTATTTGGAACAGAGTATGAACCTTTTGGGATTCCCTGAACAGTTCATAACTTGGGTGATGGAATGTGTCAAGACTGTGAAATAGTATACTATCATGGTGAATGGTGAACCAACAAACCCTTTCAATGCTGCAAAAGGGCTCAGACAAGGAGACTCTATTTGTCCCTTCTTATTTGAATTGCAATGGAATATTTGAATTGAATTCTAAAGGAGATGTCTGAGAACAAACAATTTCATCATCATCCTAGATGTGCAAAGCTGGAAATAACTCATCTATGTTTTGCAGATGATCTGCTGATATTTTCAGAGGTGATATTTCATCAGTAACAGAAGTACTTAACAGCTTCAACTAGTTCTCAAAGGCTTTAGGTTTTCAAGCAAATCTAGGAAAGAGTTTCATTTATTTTGGAGGTGTAACACAGAATGATCAGGATCTGATGCTGATGAAATTGGGATTCACAAAAGGAGTACTACTATTCAAGTATTTGGGAGTTCCTTTATCTACTAAGAAGCTGACAATAATGCAGTGGCAACCCCTCATTGAGAAGATAGTGGCAAGAATTACATCACGGATAACAAAAAAATTGTCCTATGCAGGAAGAGGTCAACTGATAAGCAGTGTGTTATTTGGTGTACAATCCTACTGGGCTCAATTATTTATACTACCAGCAAAGGTGATGAAAGCAGTGGAAGATTTCTGTAGGAGCTACTTATGGACAGGCAACAATGTCATAACAAGGAAATCATTGATCAATTGGGACAGAGTTTGCAGCCCAAAAAGTAGTGGAGGCTAGAATTTGATAAACTTAAGACTATGGAATAAGGTTGCTATTATAAAGTTATATTGGGATCTGGCAAGCAAAAACGACAAGATGTAAATAAAGTGGATACATACATACTACATAAAAGGGCAGCAGCTGGAGTACTTAACAATGCCAAAACAAGCAAGCTGGATGGTGAGGAAAATTATAGAGACAAAGAACATTGTAGAACAGGAAAGTATAAATTTCTATACAAACAAAAGTGTCATCAAACAAATATATCTTCACTTGCTGGGGATCAACCTAGAATACCATGGAAATGTTTGATGTTTGGAAATGCTGAAAGGCCAAAAACAAGATTCACACTCTGGTTACAAATGCTGAACAGACTTCTAACAGCAGATAGATTGAATAAATGGGGCATGGAGATTGAATCAAGTGCAGTTTATGTCAGAAAGCAGAAGAGACCAGGGATCATCTATTTGTGGACTGTGAGTACATGTAGGCAGTGATGAACAAGATCATGAATTGAACACATAATCAAAACATAGCAGTAGGAAATTGGGAACGACATGTGCAGGAAGTGATCAAACGAGCTAAAGGAAAATCAAGGGAAGCTCAACTCTTCAAGATGCTATATACAGAGACAGTTCACGATATATGGATTGAGAGAAATAGAAGAATTTTTGAGGAGACAAGTGTGGGATGTGAAAGAACAACAAAGGAAATTGCATATGTTTGTGTGTGCGAGCTCCTCCTAGAATAGCGGAGATAGTTCATAGATATAGATTTTAAAAATAGAAATCTAGGAAGAGAAAGAGATTATTGTAAGTATGATAGTTAATTGAGTTAGCTAGCCACGACTCCTTGTAAAATTATTACTGGTGATTAATAAAAAGTTAGTTACCAAAAAAAGTTACTTTTTTAAATTATATATGAACTACTATTTAGAATTTTGAAGTAAACTAAGAATTTGTGACTTTCCTATAATTATTCAGCTTAACAAATAAGCTAATACCAATTACTTGGAATCATTTAAATCATGAATTTGGATGTGTTCCATGTTGTTATATAATTGTGCTTCGAGGTTATTAAATGTACTATTCATGTGTTTTAGAGTAAAAAAATTATATCTTAACGTGTAATATTATTGAAAACAATTGAAAATTCTCTATTTTATAACATGTATAGCAACCTCCACAAACTACTCCCTAAATATTAGGATTTTTTGCGTAGTTCAATAAGGAAAATAGTTAATAACTAAATCTAATTGAATTTAAAGTTCTAAATATTAGGAAAGAAACTTAAATTACAATTTTGTCCAATATAAAACCTATTTTTAAAGGGTAAAAAAGGCGAACGACATTTCGCTAAGGGCCTTCGTGCTTTTAATATAGTATAGATATAGATAAATAGATAAAATGATTATACACGGTTATATACATATTAAACATAAATTATATATATATTACACATCCTTCCTCTACTTTAGTTTAAGTATGAGATAATACTGGGTATGTTGTTGTTGTTGTAGTGGGGAAAATCATTTCCGGATACCTGATAACTAGAAATCAAATAGAGAATTTTACATGCTTGGTCCCTTTTTAAAAACTATTCTCATAAATGATAGTAGGCTTTGTTTATTTCAAAAACAACAATTTTTTTTTTTTTACTTTTTTAGCACTTTCACATTTATAACTCTATTAACTAAGGGATCCCTCTACATTAATACACTTTTTACTACATTTCCTTTTCCCTCACTATTCCATATTTTCTTTTTTCTCTTCCATAAATAACACTTACCCAAATATATCGAAGATCTTGGAAGAAGAATATCTCAAAAATAATTCCCTCTGCACAATGAGAATTTTAATATTTTTATTCTTTTCTGGAGATTTAAACTTTTTTCTGTACAATTTTATTTTAACTCAAAATATACCTTTAATATATTTTAAGTATATTATATTGTGATAATTTATAAGGTAAATATTCCATCAATATGTNATATATATATATATATATATATATATATATATATATATATATATATATACCACATATATAACTTATATATATACATCATAATACATTATTAAATTGATATATTCAAAGTATATTTCTAGCATATACCTTGAATAAAATTTAATCTCAAATATTAACATGACACTAGTATGTATATAGAAGAAAATAAATATGTCACATATACTATTTATATACGGATAATTTATAGAAATATGCATGTTATATTAGTGCAAAATATAAATGGCATATTAATAATATCTATTTAAATATAAATAAGTGTATAAATAACATATGCATATATACATGATTTTTCCTAAAAAACACATGATTTATAATATACCACAAACATACATTATAGGTTTTTCATGAAATATATATATATATATATATATATATATATATATATATATATATATATATACCACATATATAACTTATATATATACATCATAGCACATTATTATATTGATATATTCAAAGTATATTTCTAGCATATAACATAAAATTTAATCTCAAATATTAACATGCCACTTATATGTATATAGAAGAAAATAAATATGTCACATATACTATTTATATACGGATGATTTATACAAATATGCATGTTATGTTAGTGCAAAATATAAATGGCATATTAATAATATCTATTTAAATATAAATAGTGTATAACTAACATATGCATATATACATGATTTTTCCTAAAAAAAACACATGATTTATAATATACCACAAACATACATTATATTTTTTTCACGAAATATATGTATTTTAATTCATTGAAATATACAGATATATAATTTTTCTAAGATTAAGTTGAATAAAAAGGTCCATGTATAAAAAAGAAAAAATTTATTATGGAATGGATCGACGATATGTATTTAAATATAAAGACGTATATAAACAATATATGCATATATACATGAATTTTCCTAAAAAAAATTAAGATTTATAATGTATATATACCACAAACATACATTATAATTTTTTCATAAAATACATGTATTTTATTTCATCAGAATATAAAGATGTATAATTTGCTACATTACATTATATAAAAAGGTCCATGTATGGAAAGGAAAAAATCAGTTATGGAATGGATTGGTTTCTAACGAAAACATAAAACATGTTATGGAATGGAGAGAAACAATAGGGAAAGATATTAAATACTAGGACTGCCTTTTTAAACAGCTTGATTCTTGCTGATTTGTAGCCCGTTTGGCCAAGCTGCAAAAATCAGCTTATTTTGAGAAGTGTTTTTTTTCAAAAGTGCTTTTCTCAAAAGTACTTTTGGTGAGAAGCAGTTTGTGTTTGACTAATTAGTTTGAAAAGCACTTCTGAGCAGCAAATAGTGTTTGGCCAAGCTTTAAAAAACTGCTTCTAAGTGTATTTTTCTCAAAAGTGCTTCTCAAAAAAGTGCTTTTGGAGAGAAGCTATTTTTTTCTGCTTCTCCAAAACTGCTTCTGCTTCTCCTCAAAAGCACTTTTTTTCTATCCAAAAGCTTGGCCAAACACCTCAAATTTGGCCAAAAGTGCTTTTGGCAAAAAAAAAGCACTTTTGGCCAAAAAGAAGCTTGGCCAAACAGACTATTGAATTGAATTAAATCTGCTATATGTATAAATATTTTACTGCCATATTTGTTAATTATTAATTAATGTTGATCTTTTGTATTAAATCTCACTTTATACCCATTAATTCCAAACAATTTACCCTTCAATGCCCATGGCCAAACTATTTACTACTCCTACCCATGGGGCCCAAACTATTTACTCGCTAATTCCAGTTGCTGCTTTGCCAAAGATGGAAGCGATGAAAAAATATCGAAGCAATAAGGTTCATCTGCAATCTAGACCCCTCAATTGACGAAATAGGAAGACTCCAAGAATCCACATATAGTTAGCGACCCTGAAGAACCAGATGCTACTAATTCAACAACAAAATAGTTGGAGGCAATCATCCTCTTTATCGACTTTCTGGGAAAAAAACTCTACATGGGGTTTTGACTCAACCCCAGACGCAGAGACACATTAATTGACTTTTTTTCAGCTAACACCAATTGATTTGCATGGTCCTATGCTAATATCATCCTTTGAGAATCTTCCCATTAAGGATTACTAAGAATATCTACCATTGTTAGGCTTGAAGCTCAATTTTATTTTTGAAGATTTCTTGTTTGATTCAAAGTGGGTGCTGTTAAATATTGCTTATAGTACCTTCTAGAAGTTCATACTGAAATTTGATAGCATTTGGAGCTGATTTGAGGTGATTGAGATCGAAATTTTCAGTTGAAAATCAAAGAAGAACACAGCTACAATATCCCGCTACGGTATACAATATGTTGTAGGAGTATATAGCTATACTGCAACAGTACACTATTATAGGTTACAAAACAATATACCGCTACAGTATACTAATATACTATAGGAGTATATAGTTATACTGCAACAGTATACTATTATAGTATACAATATATTGTTATGGTATACTATAAATATGCAAGATACTGTAACAATATGTTGTAATAGTATACAATATACTATAATAGTATACTTATTACCCGTAAATTCATTTGCCTTTTCCCTTTTAATTTGTTTTAAGCTTTTACCCAGCGTGAGGGGCAAATTGAAAATGCAAAAAAAAAAAAAAAAATTTATAGTATGCTATATGATGTAACAGTATAGTCTTACAATTAGATCCTTTTAGAATTTTTTAAATTTTTTATTGACAACTGATATTATTTCAGTTTAATAATTGAATTAAATTTTTTTAACTCTTTGCGTACAATTGTATACCCTGTTGGTATAGCTATATACTATACTGGTATCATATGTTAGTTAATATTTCTTTGGTTGTATTAGCTACATTTAATTGGTACACGATTTGATTTTTCTTTAGTAATAATATAAAAAAAAAGAATAATAAAAAATAGTGAAAACAGTAAATGAAATTAGATTATGAAAGAGAAAAAGAATAATAAAAAAAGAAGTTAAATGACAATAGAAAAGGAAAAAAGAAAAAAAAAATAAGAAGAAAACGAGAAAAAAGAAAAGGAGAAAAGAAAAAAAAAAGAAAAAAGAAGAGAAAAGAAGCATAGAAATAAAAAAGAACTGGAGAATAAAGAAAAAATTCCCCACAAAACCTACTATGGGTAAGAAATGTAATTAGTTTATGAGTAGGAAAACAAATGGGTAGACAAGGGTAAATAGTTTTTTTTTTGTGGGTAACTGTGTCAAAACCTTTTTTAATAGTATGCTATTAATTAAAGGAATTTTTATATTCCTATGTCACATAGGAAACCTTATTACTCTCAATGTTTAAGGTTTGACTTAATTACACTTAGTATACCAAATTACCAATTCTGTACCATAGTGTATTTTAAGGGTACAATTAATTTGCTGATAATCAGCTGACGCTTTCTTGTTAAAATTCAACAATTAATAAAATGACTGAGAGCTTCAGTAAACACGCTATACAACTGACAAAAAACCATTTGCTTAATTTAATTAATTTTTGAACTCATGCAAAAAATGAGTGTCTTTTTAATCTTTTATAAATTCCAATAACTATTTCCAGGCACGTAAGAAATTTGAACGTGGTTAAGATATGAAGACTAAACAAGCTAGTTTTGTAGATTGTCATGTTAAATTTTCAATCTATTTTCATAAATATTAATTTGGCCGCCTCGTGCTTCAATACTATTAATTAGATTGCATGCGATATAAGTGTCGAAAATATAAGTATCAAACAGTCGGACGACCTCGACAGAAACGTTATTAACAAAGAAAGTACGTACACTATTTTCTTGACTTAGAAAAAAAATTGTAGAAGATTTTGTAGAAGTTTTAGTCGTTTTGGATTTGTGAAAACAGAAAACAATGCATCTACAATCAGAATACAAATATTATACAATTCATCTACAAAATATCTACAAACTGGGTATATTGAATTTTAATATCTCAATTCCCATTCGATTGTAGTTTAATTGGGATTTTCGACATAATTGCGTTTTTTGCAGAAGATTTGTAGAAGTTTTAGTCGTTTTTGATTTGTGAAAACAGAAAACAAAGCATCTACAATTAGAATACAAATAATCTACAATTTATCTACAAAATATCTACAAACTGGGTACGTTGAATTTTTATATCCCAATTCCCATTCAATTGTAGCATAATTGGGATTTTTGACATAATTGCGTTTTTTCAGAAGATTTGTAGAAGTTTTAGCCGTTTTTTATTTGTGAAAACAGAAAATAAAGCATCTACAATCAGAATACAAATAATCTACAATTTATCTACAATTTCTGCAATATGTCTTCTTCTTCTTCTTCTTCAAGTCTAATATTCACCAAAATCCCTCAAAATTGAGATATAAACTCCAAACCATATTCCCGATTATTTTCAACAACACCCAATCCAAACAAATAATGATTTTTGAAAACCCAAATTTGAATTCAAAGCTTTCAAGCTTTTTAATGGCTGTCAATGGTTGAATTGATGCTCTCTTTTCATTTGCTTTGTATTACTGAAATTTGCGATTGAGAAATAGAGAGAGATATAGAGAGAATGTCGACGAACAGAGCTTTTGCAGAACTAATTTCTACAATTTGAAATTGAGCTTCTGATTTCGACGAACTGAGCTTTTGATTTGTGTCTTAAGCGAAAATATCGAAGAACAGATCCGAGCTTTTGAACAGATTTGATTTCGACGAATTGAGCTTTTGAACAGATTTGATTTGAACAAATTGAGCTTTTGAACAGATTTGATTTGTGGCTAAATCAATTAGAAGATTCTGTTTCTGAATTTTAGCACGCCTAATTAGGGAGATTCAGCTACTAATAATTAGTATTTAATGAATGGTATAATAATTGTAGGAAAAATGTGGATAGGGCGGGTAAATTAGAAACTGTGCACATTTTTGGTAATAAAGTTTCATATATGATATAGGAAGGAAAAAATCTCTTAATTAAAGTAGCCCAATCAAATAAGGAAAACAAGTGGATTAAGACTCCAAGCCCATATCTGAAAGCCCATTAAAATTGGGCCTCCTACCCCTCATAAAAAGCCTTATGAATGCATTGCCCCACAACAGTTCATCTCCTCTCCTGTTTCTGAAGTTGAAAGTCCTGAGTTTTCTCGAATCTTCGGGAACTCGAGATCCTAATTTAGCTGGTTCCTTATTCCCCAAGTAATAATCTCATCGTACCTCGTCCATTCATATCTTTCGATTGTTCTTTATTTATTTTGTTCTTTTCCTTATTGGTATAGAAGTTGTAGCAATCAGCCATGGCTGGAGGAGGAAACTTTATTCATAGGGTTATTTCTTATGTAGCCAACGAATTGATCGTCAATGGACTCGCCAACAGGTAATCAATCTATTTATTTATTATTTACTTTTGGTTTATATTCTTATCTTATTTATTTATCTTTGGTTTTCCGTAAAGGACAAATCTTTTAGTGCTGGAATGAAATTTGTTCGAATAGAATGTAACGGACATAAAAAAGATTCATACATTCATATAGCTGACCTTAATTAGTTTGGTATTGAAACATATCGGCTAGGAAACTTAATTTATAGGACAAATGAAACTTACTTTATTGGGTTGTGAATGATTTTACATAATTTATGTTTACTATCGCCAATTATGGATTGGTCGGTTTTAACCCTTCAGCAAGTCTTTAGGATAAATTAATGCAATTTGGAGGAATCAATGACAGGTCATCAGTTCAAATCGTAGATTTTTGAATTGTGAGAGATCAATAATTCTTGCCAATTCTTAGATTCATGGACCAAACTCAATTTAGTGGGATCATTTATTCACGTTTTTTTCCCCACCAAGACGTTTTCTGACCTCTGAATTTGGAGTATCCTACTTTCACACAATTTACACGGTACAACAAGCAATCAATCTTTCATGAGCAAGGGTTAATGGTTGTTTTTGTACTTTTCGTCTTCAATATGAAGTAGAAGCTTGATAACAATGACTCGTTAGGCTTGTGTGAAAATGATGGAAATTTAACATCAACATATACAATGGTCTTAGGCTGCTTGAATTATCTTCGTATCTCTATTTTATCTTTGGTTTTATTTGAGAAAGAAACTTCTCTAAACTATTCATATTTGTTGCGAAGATTGTTGCTTTTATCTGGATAGAGGGAGAGATTTTCTTCCCTTCAAAGTGAGTTGTGTGTTCCTTTTCGTTTGTCACGTCTTAGATTCTTATGCTGTAGTGAGTAAACAAGATGAGGAAAATCTTTCTGGCTTATCTGTGTGACTTCAACAAATGAAAAGATTTAAAAAAATCGTGCAGCTTTAATTATACAAAGCATTAAGAATCTGTCAAATTTGCTTGCTTTAATATTTTAAGTTTGTAGACAGGTGATAGCTTCAATGGACGAAGTCATGTTTACAAGTATAACCTATTCTCGCTTCTATTGTTGACGACTTCTTGTAGACATCCTAGTTGGTGTATAATTGTTGCAAGGAGTTAATTTTGTAGGAGAGTTTGGAATTACTTCTTCATGTGATTGACCTATCAAGAAAAAGAAAATCTACTTCTTCTTGAGATTATGTCTCTGGGTAAAAGGAGAAACTATTCCTATGTCAAGTGGAAACGTATCTTTCTTCTCCCATAGGGAATCCTTTTTTTTTAAAAAAAAAATTGGCTACTATGTTTCCTTCTATAGTATCAGTCTTGAGATATTATACTCTAATGGCCTTGAGAAGATGCCCTCTAAACTGTATCTTTCTTTTTATCTCAGCCCTGGTTTCCAAAGATTTGCTGTAAGGACCTCGAGGAGAATGGAGGATCTATCTAAAATGGGTAACTAATATACCATCTCGTCTCGTCCTCATTCTATTCAAGTTTTCAGGCTGTTCTGAGCATATGTTTTGGTACTTTTGCAGCTGAGCAAAAGAAGAGAGAAGTTGCTGACCTGATCAAGGATGTGTCCAAAAACTCCGAGGTTTTAACTGTGAAACATTTAAATGTAATTATAATAAGCGCCGAACTAATAAATTGGTTTACTAACTGATTCTTTTTCTGCAGTCTTTCAAGAACCAGTGACTTGGCAGGAAGGTGTAAGGATGTACATAGTTGCTTTTTCTTTTTCCTCTCCCATACTAATATGATGAAGAAAATTGAGTCCTCATAGCTGTGTGATTACAAGATCTCAAGGATAATTGCAGTTCTGTGATGTGGCTGTTGTTGCATACGGCGGTGTGGAAGTGATCATGGTAGTAACACTATAATATTGTTGCATTTTTAGTGTTATTTGATTTCGTATGTTTGTTGCTTTTGTGATGTCTCAATAGAACTCCCTTGGATCTCCTGTAAGGGATTACATTGTCAATTTTAAATAATGTCTCTACACGGTATGAGAAATTAGTGCACTTCTTCCCTTATGATATGAACTTTGAATTTATTGTCAAAGCTTACAGAATTTCGAAACAAAGCGAAAACTAAGCAGGTTGTTACATTGGATTACAAACTAAAGTATTATAAAAAAAAAATCCAGAGTTATGGACATTTTCTCTATAATGGATAACTAAATAGGAAAAAAATATTTCTTTTGTGGTTTTGCGAAGCCTAGCAGATTTTACAGAAATAAAGGATAAGTAGAGTAATTTTTTGTTGTTGATAATAAACTATGAAAATTACCATGAACAAAAACAAACGATACACCTATGGAGCACCTAAGAAACCAATTGGGTTGCTCAGGCCCCTGACAAAACTAGTTACAGTCTCCTAATCAGTAAACTACAACTATGGGCTCTCTTTGACCCTCTTAGCGTATCTACTCTCTCTGTGATCTCTCTTTGTATCTGTGCAATTACAGAACTCCTATTTATAATTGTTCCTCTAAAGAGCTTCCAGTTTCTAGCAGTCCATGTAGGGTAGATTGCAGCTCCCCAAATTGCAGTGATCACTTCCTTCTTGAACTGTTTCCAATGTCTAGTGTTGATTCATTGCAGACGCTGCATGACTCCTAGCTTCCTGATACTTACTCCAATCGAGTTTGCTAAGCTTTCGCTCACGGCTTCTATCCAGCTACATTCAGAGAATAAGTGTTGTTGTGTCTGCATATGTACAGCTTCACATAGGCAGCAACTTGTGTCCTCCACTTGTATATGCATCCCCATCAATCTATCTTTTGTGAGTAGTTTGTCTTGAGCTGCCAACCAAACAATGACTCTGTGTTTAGGTTGCAATACTGGACTCCATATCAAGTCAGCTGCTGGAACTCTAGACAGGTTAGTCTTCATGGCTAGGTAACTCTTGCTCACTGAATACTTCCCTGTTAAATTCAGCCTATATGTCCCATTCAAATACCAATCGACCATTTTGTTCTTGATTCCATTAAGTTTCTTCCAGTACCCCCAACTGCAGTCCACTGGTGGTACGTTGAAGGTTAATTTGAAAATTATTCCAACTATGGTGAATTTGTGATAGTTTACAGCTTTCATTTTCTATTTTTTAATTTTTATTCACAATTTACTTTGCATTTATGCTGGTAGTGTCATTTCTTTGTAATTGTTCGATTTTATCTTCCCTGGAACTATACTATCCAGATACATTGCTGGTATTTGCGTTCTAGTTAATTGAAGTTGTGTAAAGATCCCCTCATTCTCTTCTTGTCTGTGTTAGGATGAAAGTTAAGTTAATCATCTCGTATATCACATTCAATACTATATTTGTATGTATCATCTTTGCACATTCAATTGCATGCTATTTTCGACGTATATATTGCTCTGTTTGGATAAAAAAGTTAAATTTCCGATTTCAGTAACCTGAAAAGAAAGCTAAACAATCACAGTATTATTGAAGTACTAGCTAGTAGCTCTACAATTCATTTTTAAAGAAAACTAAACGATCACAGAGAAATTGATTACCTTATTTCATGCCTCCTGCACTAAATGAAGAAAAAGAAAACCCCTGAAAACAGAAGAAATGTATCTAAAAATTGAGAGGAAAAGGGGAAGGAAAACACATTAAAACATTCAATATGGAAGAAACATAGGGATGGGGACAGTAACATACAATCTTATGCCATTATTAGTGGCCTATATTTTGGATCAACTTGGACTATATGTAGGATGCATTATACGAGAACTATCCGAATTTGGGGTATTCCCATGAGAATTAATTGGAACTGTGTAAAGGTCTGATAATTCACCCTGGTCATTCTCTTCCTGTTCATTTTTTATTAGACCAAGGGATCCCAGTTAACTTCCTCATACCTTCAATTTCTATGGCCACTTCTTTCATTGTAGGCCCATCTTCTCCGTGCATGCGAAGGCAGTTCTTTACAAGCTCAGCCATCTTTTGAAGTTGCCCCCTTCCATCAAAATACGGCGATCAAGAATCTGAAACAAGCTATTCTTATTCATGGACATAACAAAATAATCGGCCAAATTCTTGTCCTCACCGTTTCTATCCTTAGAAACAGGTTTTAATCCCGTTAGAAGTTCTGCTAGAACGACTCCAAAGCTGTTAACATCACTTTTCTCTGTCAATTGACTTGTGCGAACGTATTCAGGATCCAAGTAACCTGATGTCCCTAGAACTAATGTAGCCAAATGTGTTTGATCCAAAGGAATTAACCTTGAAGCTCCAAAATCTGCCACTTTAGACCTTTAAACATTATCCAACAGTATGTTGGCAGACTTGACGTCCCTATGAATTATAGGCATGGACGCAAATGAATGAAGGTAAGCGAGTGTAGTGGCTATATCTGCTGCAATTCTCAATCGGTTTTGCCAAGATAACCAATATCCGCTCCACGTTGATTGTGAATGTGCTTGTAAAGAGTTCCTTCAGAGACATACTCATAAACCAACAAAGGGACTTCAACTTCCAAACAACATCCAAAGAGTCTCACCACATTTCTATGGTTGACTTGAGTAAGAATAAGCACCACATTGATAAACTGATCAATTTGACTCTCGTCCACAAATCTAGACAACTACGCTATTATCACGTAGCACACCTCTATATACAATCCATTGCCACTGCGACCATGAATTCTGTCATTGGCATTATTGTTCGTAGCTTTCTTGAGCTCCTCAGCTGTAAAAGTTTTTGTTGCTTTCAAACCACCCTCGTTAGTGGAGATTCTATGTTTCAATAATAGACCACCATTTTGTTGGGAGAATTTTTCTCTGACTCTTATCAATTTTCTTTTCTTGATGCTGAAATAGAGCCAAGTTATCACAACAACTATGGAGATAAAGCCAACTCCGGTACCTGTGTAATTAGTGGAATTGAACTTTTAATGTCTACTTCAACTAGATAAAAAGTGCAGGATTGTTCATATTCATTTGCTATTGAATGTATATGCTGACGAATTGGTGTTCTAAGTGGATGTTTCAAACACATAAAAGAAAGTTCTGTATTATTCAAACATAGTCCGGATTTTTGAAAGAAAAAAAAAAGTAGTTCTTGGTGTGTGTATGCTGTAGTATCATACACAAGAATACCAAAATTTGGACTTTTTAAGTTTTTGATAAAAAAACAAAAGAATACGGGAAATAGGTACTGCTTTGCCACATGTGTGGTGTGTGTATACTGTAGTATCATAAAAGAGAAACATCTAATTAAAATTCAAAACTTTTGTTAAATAAAGGCGTTCGCAAAAATAGTTTGAAATGAAGTGACAAAGTAAACATTCATATGTTATGGAGACATAGAAAGAACCACATACTTGTCAGTTATTTTCTTGCTAGGTAGAGAGCCAGTCTCCCTTGAGACCTGCTGCCGCAAAAGCTCTTTCTGCTGCTCCTTCGCCTGCGGATTAAGCCGTAGAAGGCAAGCAAGCAAACCTTGGCAACTGGCAATTTCAAGGATCAGGGGAGGTATGAAATGGTTATCTCGGCTGGGAATCGCCAGCTTTCCCTCTAGTAAAAGATTAGCTCCTCAGATTTACGGATTCGCAGGGGGCTTTCCTGTGTTGCACTGAAAAAAAGGACCTAAGAGACGAGCGTCTTCTCTTAGGTTTCTTCCTCCCGCGCCCGTCGCCGCCCGGCCCGCGTTAGAGGGGAAGATTAGCTCCCAGAAGCGGAAGCTGAATCAGTTGCAGGCTATAATGTAGAATATGCGCTTTTCGGGATTTCTAAATTCATTTTCTTCCTTCCCCGAGCCCACCAAGAGAGTGAATAACGAATGATCCTCCAAACTAAAAGAGTGATTAAGTCCGACTCAAGCGAGTGAGTGGAAGGCGTGGCAAGAGAGCGAGTTCGACGGTGTGACATAGACCCGTCGAAAATAATATTAGTATTCGTGGTTATGAAAGTATTTCAAGATTTTACCTATAGAGAATTTGATCCATGGGAATTCAGAGTAGGGAGCAATACAACTGATCACGCCCAACTATGCCTTCTAAAAAGAACAATGCGGTCGTTGCAAATATAATCCGGTTTACAAGTTCGGAGTCGAATCCCACAGAGAATTAACCTATCAATTACCTTTGTTGGAATCACTAAATCCTTTATAATCACTTTCCCAAACTTTGTAAACAATATTGAATGGTATTTCTAGTAACTAAGATTGAAAATAAATAACTAACAGCTGTAAACTAAATATTCTTGGGTTGAAAACAATAATGAGAAGGTTCTAAGATAGTGATTTCCCCTATTGATGGAATCCCTTCCGGTTACGTTGCATATAGATTCACCAAAATATCTCTATCAATCATGAGCACTCTTATTACCGTGAATCTCTCCCGAGTAATTGCGATAATTTACTAGACGCACTCTCCCGAGCTACGCTAGCTGGCTTTGATTATTACAACTCGCTTTAGATTACACCCAAGGCTTCGTTATCCCTAATCCTGCCTTTAAACCCGCAATTATAGATCCCTCTTATACTTAGGGAGTGGTGTTGTTTAATAATTACCTAAATATGCACCCTCTCCCGAATTATGCACACTAAATAGGCACAGCTAATTGAGGATCCTATCAATTAACTACAATAAACACGTAATTGAACAAATAAAGATTAACCGGCAAACTATATGAACATAATCAAGAAGTTCATCCTTCAATAGGTTCCATCAAAACCTTAGACTAAAGTATTTAGCTACTCATGACAACTTGAAGATAATCTACGATAATATTCATCATGGAAAATTGCAAGAAAAAGATGAAATAAAGAACTATGATGTTTTGGGTGATCTCTCACACTTGTGTTTCTTGCCCAAGAACTCTCTAAAACCAATCTGACCTAATGTAGTCGAAATCCTACTTTTTATAAAGGTTTTACACCAATTTTTTCCGACTTGACAATCCTGCCCCTGGCTATTTCGCGTTCTGCTGCGGTCCCACCGCGGTTACGCCGGGACCGCGGCCAAAAGGGGTCTCTGAATCTTCATCTCTACTCTGCCGCGGTCCTACCGTGGTTACGGTCT